GGAAGCGGCTTCACTTTTAGTCCGAATAATGCTATCACTTAATCTCGGAAGACACCTATTCAGCTTGTACATTTCGTTGTCAATAGCGTGTTAATTTCAAGGTCCGTAGGTTCTTCATCAGGCAGGGAGTGGACTTGTCATATCATCACTGTCAATTTCCTCACCCCAACGCTTTGACGTCGACCATAAACAACTTAACTAAATTGGCAAAATATACAGGATCGAGGCTTAAATGGACAAAACCTGGCCCCAGTCGAGCAAATGTGTCGCATTCTACCCTGATTGTGCGGCCAATGCATGGCCAGAAGTAATCTCGAAATTGAATGTTATCTTGTCATCACATGGTCAATATCATTATAAAATCTGTTATATTTCGGCCTGTACATTGATAACATCGCGCTGGGCCGGTGTAGTGTTACATGTCGACCTGTCTTCCGGCAATACTCTGGTAAACAGGAATGACTCAGACTCGCAGTTTTGAAAAGGAAAGAATTTCCGCATATGACCCCCAAACAACTAATAGGTTATTAACAGACATACTCAGGGTGCTGTCTCCGAGGTTCGAGGCACAGGAATGTGTATATGCATGTATATTTAGGATACACGTGTACATCCGCATTAAAAATAAATTACAATGTTTCAAAAATATTTCTCTGAAGGAACGTTTTTCTCAAGCCTTGCAAAACACAATATGTCACTGATTTGTTGTTTGTTGTTTACCGCCGCACTCAGCAATATTCCAGCTATATGGCGGCGGTCTGTAAATGATCGAGTATGGACCAGACAACCCAGACAGACATCATGAGCATCGATCCACGCAATCGGGATACGATGACTGACTTGCATCAACCAAGTCAGCGAGCCTGACCACCCGATCACGTTAGTCGCCTCTTGAAACAGCATAGTCGCCCCTTACGGCAAGCATGAATTACTGAAGACCAATTCCCCGGATCTTCACGGGTCCATATTTCACTGGAAAGGAAACGGGGCACAGTCGTCTCTACACATTACACATGGGTATGACAAATTTAGATTACAAGTTAATGAGCTCTCTCGTGTTATTTCAGCAACAGCCCCGCTATATGACGGCGGCCTGTAAATAATGGAGTCTGGATCAGACAAACCATTATAAGCAACGATCAACGCTTCTGGGTCAGATAACATGCATTAACCAAGTCATCGATCACTCGATCCATATGTCGCTTCTTACTACAAGCATAAGTTGTCGAGGACCAGTTCTTACCCGGCTTTATGCTGTACAACATTCCTTCTCTTATGTGAGCCTCGATCCTCTAATCTTGGGTTCAAATCCCAGGTTCGAGCTGTTTATGAACCTTGGTCTGTCAGCAACGTGCTACTGGCCTCACCAGAGTAGTAAACATAAGACTTTGAGTCCCCGATCCCACGCTTCAACTGAGGAGTACGGTTTTACGCCACTTTAAGCAATATTCCAGAAATATCACAACGGGGAACACAAAAAATGGGCTCCACACATTGTACCCACGCGGGGAATCGAACCCGGGCCTTCAGGGAACGCTTTTACCATCAGGTTACCCCAACGACCCGCGGCTATATAACTGACATACTGTGCAAAGTGATATTAAGATGAATTCATTCACTCATTATCTTAACGGAGTGAGGTGCATGCAAGTGGTTAAAGCGTCCGTTCGTCATTTCAAGACCCGGGTTCTATTCTCCGCAGGGGTACACTGCTAGTGTTCATACCCCGTGGATGTCCTGGATAGAATGTGTCTTCAGGAACAGATGCTTGTCTTACAAGCGATTAACTGGATCGGGTGGTCAAGCTCGCTGACTTAGTTCATGCATGTCATCGTATCCCAAATGCGTAGATCGTGCTCGTGATGTCAGTCACTGGATTGTCTGATCCAGACCCGATTATTAACAGTGTCAGTGAGTATGGTTTTACGCCGCTTTTAGCAATATTACAGCAATATCACGGCGGGGGACACCAGAAATGGGCTTCACACATTGTACCCATGTCGGAATGGAACCCTGGTGTTCGGCGTGACGAGCGAACGCTTTAACCACTAGGCTACCATACCGCCCCGATTATTTACAGAACGCCGTCATATAGCTGGAATATTGTGAGTGCGGGGGTAAACAACAAACAAAACCTAGTGTTCCCAGAATATTACTAAAATCGGCGTAAGACCACACCCCAACTCCTACTGACAAAGGTATAGAGCTTGTTCATGCTGTTGAAATATTCTGAATATGTTGTAGTTATTTATAACATGTTCTCGGAGACAGCAACAAACAGGGCGTGGAGTAACTGTACTAGCACGCATACATAATGCCATGGCTTATGGTCCCCGTTGCAATATTTATGATCAAATTGCTCGTCTCGGCGTGTATGATGATGACACCGCTTAAACCATTATATAGCTGACACAATACACACATCACATTACACTTTAAGTGTCCTGTCCTAACTCAGAAAATCTACATCATTAAATGAGTTTCCCAACAAAAAGCTCACACGAATTCCCAACAAAAGATCACACGAGCATAACCCAGGCCCCCATTACCGTTGGACTTCTTATTCAAATTTTATTGCCAAAATATTCACCAAGCTAAGAACGGCGGACTTTTTTCAAGGGGAGTCGTGTGACAAAATGGATATTAGCTTTTGGAACAAAACATGGACTTGCCATCTCGACTGTTAATAAATCATATTTTCCTAATTTATGCTTAATAACTGTTGATAAAGTTTGGACTTATTCGCAATAACCGCTCTCTGGAACTGAGGTCTTCCGCGTGCGTGATTGACATAATCTCTCGCCACCTGCGAGCGTGGTTGTTTGTTAAAAGATAAAATGTGTAATCACCGGCATGTATTAAAGATTGTGCTTGATCTCCTATCGATTTTGACTCAACACTATAGCTTATTGAATACATAATTATAAATCAGATTGACAGGTATCGTCCCAAGCCTTGCTTTATTAGCTAGTATGTCGGTGTGTATTTCCTTCTGTCCTTTACGGTTGACAACTTTGTAAATATGTGTCATTGATCAACTGTACATTGCAAACGATTTTGTTGACAAATAGAGTTATTGACTATCCAAATATATTTACATGGCGAATATGTATATAGGTTCATATATACATCTGTCAGTGACAGACACCATACCAGTTATAAGGATTGTTGAAATAGATGTTTTGTTGGATATTGTGAATTTGGCAAGGTAAATATAGTTAACAAAATCGAATATCACTTATATTTTAATTTGTGGAAAATATTACGTATTACGTTTAAAACCCATTCCTAAATACTATTGGCAAAAGCCTTACATGTTTAACTTAGTTGATATGAAGTCCAGTAACTTCCCCAATCAATATCATAAAGCTATGTAAATGTTTAAAATATGCATGTACACGTTGATTCTCTGTCCAGCCTTATATAATTTATGATGCAAATAAGAACATAAATGAATCTGTTTTCATGCCCCGCCTACCCCTATCTAATGTTTTTTTATGATCCTTTTTAACCATTTTTAAGAAACGACTAGCGTATTTTCCTACTCAGTTTTAAAATGTCATGAGAAACAAAAATACTTATAAATAAATAAAATATAATATAATAAAGGTGTCGTTACAGTGATTCCATATCAACACATAAACGTTTCGCAGCTGAATATGATACGCGGAATAATTGTTTGGTCAAAGCAGTGGACGGTTATACGCAAAAGAATAAATATATTTTACATTTGGTTGGAAAACACACCACAATTAACACATGTGTGAAATGTACCACAGTGTATAGATATATTTATTGTCATCTTTCAATGCCGTTTCTATATATAAAGATATTGTTATGAATTTGTAAAATAATTAATTTTATTTCCAAATGAACCTTTGAGGTCTACACATTGAAGTGATGGAATGAGAATTACAGAGTGACACATCTTTGATCTTTGAAGGCAATAAGATTATTTTGAGAATTAAATTAAATTTTGATAATATGATATTGGACATCTTAAGTAAATAATTTATGGATATGATTAGCAAAAGTCGTTCCGGGTGTTGAAATGAAATAAACATTAAACGCCTTCGCATAGTGAGCTCAAGGTGTCTGCAAGAAACGTCCATGCGTATATCTGAGTCACGCAGAGCATGGAAAATACATGACTTGAACGTTCAGTAGATGTTTTTGTTGAGCGTTGCCAAGTGACATGTTCGTTTTAGGCGGCGCACAAAAAATCTAGGTCGTTCGATTTGAAACAAATACAATCAAGACATTTTCATAAATTGAAGTATTTTATTATTTGGATCATTTGTGAATGACGAATGTCTATGTACAAGGATGTATTTTAATGACACAGCTAACCAATATATCAACAACTCTGAAACAACAGACAAACTCAACAATTATCAACACATGTACAACAACCTCACACTGGGCAACTTACACGACAGTATTCATACTAGAAGCAAAAGTATCAATACTATATTTTATTTGTCAAACTTTCGATGGTGTAAGCATCGAGAGTTTTAACTACTAATGTAATGTCGTGTATGTTGCGAACCAATTTAAGATTGTCTAAACATTAAAATCCTGATTTGGAACAATTTACACATTTCGTATCGCAACTTTCACTATTCTAACTCGTCCTGACAGATTGTTCGCACCGAAGAATGTCGAAAGTTTCCGGAAATTACCGACCTGGTGTTCGGAGATTTTTTTATATCTCCGGTGGCTGCAAGAACTCTGTTTGTTTGGACTGTCACTTTATCAAATTAAAGTTTCATTGTCAACTACGGAACACTAAAAGCACTAAATTCTTGCATATGTGACGATCACAGCTTGGGGTATTCTCATATATAAGGCACGACCGAAAATACTGATTGATTACTTACTTATATGCAATATATTGTCTTTAAGTACACAAGAATATTCACAGGGTAATAATATCAGTGTCATATTGCATAAAATAAATATCCTTGGTCGGTATTGCAGTTCATTTTTCAATTTCATCATGACATGCATAACTGTATGCATGATGCATGCAGTGTGGCGCCCGTGAAACGATAGCTGCGATCTAGCACCTTTGTCAACACAAACTTATGCATGATGTGTTTTAATACGAACATATCACCAGAAACACAAAATTGCACTTTCATCCATTTGGTCGAAAAGTCGAAGCATTACACAAGGACGTCATTCATCCTGGGAATTATAATATCATTGGACAAGTGGTCATCGACGGTATAACTTCCCGACGTCGTCGTGTCGTCATCGTTGGCGTCGAAACTGAGGTTTCCATCGTCGGGGAACATTACTTGGGAATTCTGGGCATGACCGTTCACATAGAAAGGGCCATCGTTGAAATTGTCACTTTCCGTAAAATTTCGATCAACGGGAAGATCCGATTGGAATGTCACGTGCTTGGCAGGTCTTTGACTTGATGATCGAATACTGGACTGACTAGCATTCGGAGTTTTGTCGAAACCGAAAGTTCCTCCGAATGAATTGGTAGACAATTTGCCAAGTCCTTTCACATAGTCCGATGCTTTCTTTTGACGATACATTTGGCGGGAAGACATGGTTGTTGACACTGAAAACAACAAAAATAAATAACTTAAAAAAACATGAACAGAAAACATTTTCCTTTCACGAGGAGACAAACACAATTGAACTCATGTAACCCTAAAAGACTAACAGTTCGGAGCAGGAATATGACCGTTAATTTCCCATCTATGTTCAGTTTGTTTTCTTTTTCATTGCTGATTAGATTTCAACTCTACTGTTTATTAGTTCTTTTGATATTTTTTTAAAAGTGAGTGAGTGAGTGAGTGAGTGAGTGAGTGAGTTGAGTTTAATGCCGCTGTGAACATTTTCTTGCCAAAGTGAGAACCAGGTGAAGATTTTTCATTTTTAGGTTTTAAAGGTTTTTAACTTCATCATACAATAGAGTATTTAATTCTACCGAATGTCCGTGCATCTCAAATATATCTGTCCTATACTATTTTGAAGTGTGTGGAGGCTTATTCCCGGGTGTAGTAGTAGTTGTAATAATAACAATAACAATAATAACAATAACAATAACAACAACAACAACAATAACAATAACAACAACACTACTACTAATTGCGCAAAACATATTTTAGTAGGATTACATCATTACAAAAAAAGGAAAATAGTAAAAAGATCAATATTGTCCACAAAATCCAAAATCCCAGAAAACATTAATTTGACCTGTGGCTGACCAATGGCTGAAGAAGCCGTCCTCCAACGTCTAATGACAGTATTCACACAGCACATGCCTAATTGCCTGCCTCCATTAAGTGTCTCTCTGTTAATCCCTATTGGATTGTGCTGATCTGGTGGGGCTTCAATGGAACACCGACGTGATGATTAGCACGGGGATATGTCGTTAACGACAGTGACAACGCTTCGGTCAAATCTGACCTTTTCGTGATAATGACCACTGTAAGACATGCAATCTACATGCTTTTATTGATCGATCATAATGGTCACTCAGTGCGGTCAGTCAAGGAAAATGGAAGTCAAATCTGGACTTGCGGTTGACGTGGTCGGGAATATATTGTTGTCGTTAACGCTTGTTTAGTCGGGATTAGGCTAATGGGAATAGGCTGAGCGATTCGGTTACTTCTGGTTAATTATTGAAGTAAAAGAGTATTTTTGTTTCTCTATAAATAAATGCCACATGTTATAAGCAGTGGGAGTGAATCATAATTGTGCGAGCCAATGATTTTAGAATATAATACATTCAAGACACATTTTATCCGCGCCATAATGGTTTTCTCTGACGGATAAAGGTTCGATGTGGTAGCCTAGAGGTTAAAGCGTTCGCTCGTCACAGGTTCGATTCCAGTGCGTATATGTTTGGAGCCCATTTTAGGGTCCCCCGCCGTGATATTGCTGGAATATTGCTGAAAGCGGTGTAAAACCTCACTCACTCACTCATAAAGCGGCGTAACCGCTCACTCATTCGTTGGACGATTTTAAGGAGTACACACCTTTCTGAGTGACTGGGGATACGCGTCCGTGACTATCCTCGTCACTTCCGCCTCGACCACTGTCACTAGTAGTTGTCTCCCCTGAAGTATCGCTGTTGGCATCGTCGCTGCTGCGTCTTGGCATCTAAACACAAACGAAAATAACATCATTTTTTTTATTTAAATGATATAGACCCAAATTTCAGAAGGGGTAGAACGTGTTGCTTAACATTTAAGGTTCAATAGTTTGCCGAAACTAATACCGGGAACAGGAAAGGAATTCTGAAACGCTGTCTTTATTGTTAAAATTCAGAAAACAGTGTGACCATTGGACAAGTTTTAGATAATAAAGATATGCGTTAAATCAAAGAATTTCAATAAAACGGTCACTTTACAGACAAAGAAATAAAGAAAGTGTGTACTTACATTAGAATCGACGCCATGCATTCTAAGGAGATCCTTGTGAATCTTGAGCGCCGTCGACCACTCGTCTGCCGTGGTGTTGCCCGGATACATGCCGTCATCGCCAGGCTGGGTGCTCTGTAAACAAAAAACGGTAAATCAAGAACCGGATAGATGTAGACTTGATCAATAACATAACACTATTAGGATTGTAACAAATACTGTCAAGCTGAAACCATAAGACCGTGGTCGGGGTGGGGGGTGATTACTCCTTCAGTTCAGATCGACAGACTTATACGAACAACCGTTAAGGGTCGAGGAAGTTCACATGCCATTAATACCAGGAGATTCTCTTATATAGCACAATTCTTTCTCACTGGAAAAAACCATCAAATATGAACTTTATTCATTCAGTATTTTAGGCCACAGGCCCATCATACAATGGTACTACAGTCGTAGTCAGTTTGCTCCTAATACATATCCCTTTATATATATAAACATAGGTTTTTGAAGCATCAATTAAAACCCAGCAATATTTGTTTTGAAGACACATCGACTGATGTCACTGAAACTCCGAGCGAACAGGGAGACCCATCCAGACATTCCGGTCGATATGTTGATAAACGCCGACTTACATACAAAATACATTCCTCCGTAACAAAGATTGGTACATCCGGAAATGTGTTAATCCGGTAGTATATTTATCATTTCGGATTAACGGGTTTTTATTGCCTATGTATAATTTAGATTTCATAAGCAGGGAGTCTCACGTGGTCATAAAAGATGCCTTCAGTGCAAAATTAGTACCGGAAATAAAGCCATAAAACAACTAGTACGTACCGGAAAAAGGCATATATACAGTATATGTGGGGGTTGGTTGGGTACGTTTTTCCCCAACTGCTTTCGTCTCGTGTTACTAAAATCGGTTTTGCTTTTTTTGGCTATGCATGCCTCCATTCAGTCTCAAATGTCAACGCCGGGCAATCAGCTCGAGCAATCGCATCTTGCCTAACATCTCGAGTATTTTGCGCAACTGTTGGAAACTTCCGAGAGTCAATTTCAAGACATGTGATGTTTATCCTACAGATAAAGTTTGTGAAAGGGGGAAAATATTATCACAAGCCAGGATTTGTCTAATAATACGAGCAAAGCGTTTGAAATTTACACAACGTAATACACCCGTCCACCCGCTCCCATAGGCGGTTCGAATTCTACATTCGTCAAGAACAAAAATCCAATTTGTCAAGCCAGTGCTAAGATTTAGTCCTTACAAAGTGTTCATTAACCGTGAAATTGAAATACAAGGCCGAATAGATGTCTTAGCACAGTGTTGGTATGTACTCAATTTCCTTTTCGTGTCGCTATCGGAAATTATGTCATTAGGGGGTTGATTTGTCGGAAGAATTGGCGCTGTTGAAGATAAGATTGCCCCGTATCCCACCCGAGGGAAGGTCACGAAATATCCCAAATATCCACACACCCTATTGGGGTGTAATCGTGTGATATACTCATACACCTTCATCGTGTAATATGTTTACTTTGACCTATCCCTGTGAAGCTAGTCTTTGTTAAACTTTGCGTAACGGTAAAATGATACTTGATCCGTGTGAATATGTCATGGAATGGGCAACGTCCGATCTGTTTCGTAACAATTAGTCTCTCAGACTAATGGAAGATTTTGTCTATGTGTTATTGAAATACTTAAATGTTGAGGTTTGTGTAAGTTTGTAAATTATTTGTTTATAACAGACATGGTCAGCTGAGATCATCTTAAAACAAAATGAATTTCTTAAATCTGTGAACATTCTGTCTCATTCATGCCTGAGGTTTTTTTTATCACTGTTGTGCATGTCCAATATACCTTGATCTTGTTAAACAGAGTTTTTGACACAAGAAATAATAACTTCTATTACCGTATGCACCGATGACGAAGATGTTCAATTTAGAATCTTGCATAGGTTTCTTTACTTATTATTAGAATTATAAACTGACGAGTAAAAGAAAGCATAACTTGAAAATTGGAATTGACGAAAAAATTACAAAAGTTATCAAAACTGTACTAGACTGAAAACAGTCGCCGAAACACTGTCCAAAACACAACCATAACACCCGTAAATACATAACCATTTCTTGATTGTTTTCATTTTTAACCACTATCAAACATGGGCGCATACTTTATTTTGCCTGGCAGCTTGGTATTAAACCTATGTTATCTAATAACAGTTATGGGCTATGTATATTTACATATATCATAATTGGCTTCTAATAATGAATACTTCACAACATATTTACTAAACGAACTTTGTGCATGTCTTTTATAACACGAATAGAACTCAATAAACTTGTAAGCTGGTGATTTTTCACGATAATATTTTGGCAAATGATGGGATCTTCACTCAGAGGGTACGTGAATACCAAGTGGTATTATTAAACATATTAAATTACCAGGTAAAGTTAAATAAATAATATTTGAGACCATACCCACATGTACATAATAGTACACTTCTTGAGCAAAACAGTTTCCACGAAAATTTAAACATGAGAAAGTAAAGTAATACAACTTGAAAACACATACTCATAATAGTACACTTCTAAAAGAAATATAGAACAACGCCAGAAATTAACCAGTCTCCATTATCGGACGAAACAGACTCCACTGGGTGTTGAAGGCAAAACTAGTAGTAAAATATTATGAATTGATCACTGAAGAACGTTTCAAAAGTTTATTGAGAAACACATATGGAAGTAAAGTTGTACAATTTAAAATTTAAGCATGTGGTGAATGTGTACCTAACAACCCTGTGCTGAAATAACACAGTATAGTGCATGTCGTTAAGTTATGGTAATTTATGACAATCCTTATCTTAGGTGCTAGCCATTTTATGAAGACGTATTCCTTTACGTGTTTAATTTGGATATAATGTGTCAACGTTTGAAGAAACTGCCAAGAAATATTATGATTAATACAGTTTATCTCAATATACCTATCAAGTTATTACACGTTGTCTGATGAAGATAGCGAGGTGTCTTTAATATATTCTTGTCGCTCACAACCAGCTTATTCAAAGAGGCAAGGGTTAAATGAGGCGTGCGGTGCCATATCATTAACGCTTGTTTAGGCCGGTTGGGTCAGTGGGTGGTAAGTCTTAGCATGTACAGAGTGAGTGAGTGAGTGAATATTGCTTAACGCCGCATCAGCAATTTTGCAGCTATTCGCGGCGATAGCATGTACAGAAGCTATACGGGTCTTGTGACCAGAAACGTTTGAGATTTAGGAAACGTCTCAGTGATTTCATATACGAAGCTATTCGCTTAATATGTAAGGGTAATTTTGAAGAAGGATATTATCAAGCGCATGACAATACTGTAAAATTTAGAAATACAATCCATCAGATGGCGTAGCGCATGCCCCGTAATAGTAATAACAGTAAACAACATTATTTATGTTGTATGTATTATCTGGATGGTTTTATTTCATTTTGCTGTTTTGTATAATGCTTTTCACACTCAACTTACTGGTTTCAAATTCTATACATATATTCTCCAAAATGTTTGTTTCAAATATCTGAAAATCGTTACACAATCAACAACAAAATCCCAGCTAACGATCGCAACATCAGCTGTGCAATCTACAAGAAGCCATGTCTGTTGCATCACGCCGACACTCGAGATGTCTATTGCTGACAATGCTTGTCAATTTCATCTATCTGCGTAATTAACCTAGAAATGTCGTAACGAGCGTCAATCAAAATGTTTGATCTACGAAATCGAACACTTATGCTCTCAGCTCCCGTGTCGTCAACACTGTAGGTAAGAGGGTCTGGTTTTCCGCCCGAGGGTGGGGGTACGAGGCAGGGGGCGGTGGAAGGGGGGACGTTAACGAAGCATAGGCAATGTCGTGTATCTATGTAATTAATTGCAGAAACAGACTCGTCGGTTGTGTAAGATGATGTTAATATCAATACTGAAGCCCTGGGTGGTCGCAAATGCATTAGATGTAATCTGCGATATCCCATCAGCATTTGTTAACGACAATTTTGTTTATTTTAACGCGCGGAACGCTGAGGTAAGAGATTGTCGAACATGCTGGTTACATGATAAGATGGTATCGAATTACTTTAATCACAAGCAGCTGATATCTTCGTCTGATAGTCTCCTTTCGTCCATGATATTTAATATTTTTTAGGTTTTATTTCCATTTTGTAAATAAAAAATAGAATTGAAAATTTTGAAACTTAAACAACTTTTCTAAATAAAACTATAGTTAAAAATGGAAATAAAAATCTTCTATAGAAAATAAGAACTGGGTTTTATTTCAACATCGCGTGTGGACAGTAATTATTTTAATTCTTTACAATAACATATACTCGGTATATCTCGCTCGGTGTTGTTGTAAGGATTATTAGTTGTCAATCAAGTTTAATTTGTTTTACAATTAACATGGTTCGTTGGCATTATGTTATTACATACATGCACTGAGTGCTCGTTGAGACAAAGAATAAATCTGTTTAGATAATCGCCCCAGGCATGTGCTATTGACAACTCAGGTCGACTATTTACTTGCTTATCATTATGTTTACCTTAACAGCACATGCCATTTTTTGACAACATGTCAAACCATGTTTTTAATAAAAACAGTATGACAGAAGTGTGATTTAACATTATTTTGTAGATTAGAGAAGATCAAACTAATGGTATTTTTCAATTCAGTTTCAGATTACATTTAATATCACAAGAAGCGTCACTCGCCGAGAAGACGTTTTTTTTTAATTTACAGCCTACACATGTTTTTCTTAAAGCACGATGTCAGTTGGATATCGCTCGAAATTTATCGTTGATAATATATATCTATCAGCTTACTTTCTCAGGGCCTAAAGTGCCGAGAGGGGAGATAAAATTTGACAATACGCTTCGTCTCGGTGACTTTTCCTTCCCCCTAAGACGCTCTTATCATCAATATCCCCTTCAAAATCTTGTATTCCCCTACTATCAGAGCTCGACAAAGACCCCTGGGCAGTGCTTTGTGAAGCGACGCCTCTTACCCCGTTCAGAGCGCTGAATGTCAAATATTTGGGTGTCGAGGAGATGAAATGAAAGAGACATGCACAAGGATGGACAAGCAGCGGGTGAAAAGTCTGTTCTTGTCGAAACGAACACAAGTATTTGTCGTCCTGGCCATTAAAATACCCCCTTTCACATGAAATGTACAAGCGTCAATTTCACTGAAAGAAACACCACATAACATGTGACGGACAGCGAAGGCTTACACAGTGTCTGTATGTTCGGGTTTTAATCACCCTTCCCCACAAGAGGAAATAAAAGAACATGTTTTATTGGTTTTATGATCGGGAAGACGGCCCTTGGTTATTTACTGTTGTAGTTTTATGCAGTGGCTGGATTATGAGATTCTTGTCAATGACATCTTTTACCCGAGAATGAAAGTGATCTCGAAGCGTGAAATATAACAATAAATTTTCCACAATAGAATTACACCCTCGACCTAGTTCTTTGTCAATAAACATTTCATAAAGTGTGATCTTAAGAGAATTTTATGGAAAAATATATTCCTTGTAAAGTGATCGTAATAAAGATATGCGTTTTACATTGAGTCTATGAAGCGATGTTTCAAATGTTAATGTTTTTGCAGAAATTAAAGTTTCACCCCCGTTGATATATCATAAACTTCATGGACTCGTTTAATCCAGAGGATTGTTGAAAGTTTATGACATATTATTCATACGAATATGATCATTGCTCTAGAACTTTATGATCCTTTCAATAAAACCTTGAATTACTAGAATAGAAACTGAATGACCAATACTTACAGAGAATATCAATGGCTATTCTACAGCAGAACTAACAGATACATATTTTCATGTGTTAAAAATTACTGACATTATGCTGAAAATAGGATTTTACTATCAGTTTGAATGTGATGTAATTAAGTACACATAACTTAAGTAACGAAATCAAGCGAATACGATGACTGAGAGTTCAATCTCAAATTAAGGAAAATGTGTTTGTTTTATTTTGTACGAATCTATTCAAAGTTAAAGTTTTATTACCGACAGATCGTAAAACCGAGGTCTAAACAAACACTGTGCGTAATATGGGGGGCCGATATTGGATGCGAAGTCACAGATAATGAAACCTTTGAAGGAAAAGTTCTTGAGGTATGTGCAAATATTTTAAAGGTCAACCACAGGAATATATAACTATTGAAGGACCATTTCCTCCCCCTTAGGGCCTTTATTTGACCACCGCTGACCACCACGATGACCAATTCATTGGCTCATCGAAAAATTGTTACTTTGAAAGTCAAACGCCTGAGCCTGTTTGCTCGGCCCCATGAAGCACACAACAATTGGGTAATCTTTAAGTGGGCAAACTGCTCTAGCCCTCATTTATGTTAAAATTGTGTAACATAGCGCACAAGCTGAAGTAGGGTTGATGGAGAATTCACAGTATGTTTTCTTTCGCTGTGTCAATCTGCTCCCGCGGTAGAGATGAAAGGGCTTGTCATTAAGTATTGCACTAAAAGGTGTTTGTAGTTACAGAAGAATGGACTTTGAGGATTGGGAAAGAATGAGGTGTTTATATGGTAGATTACCCCTGGCCTGATGCAATATTAATGCATTTGCTACTGGACAATGGAACAGATTAAGCTGCCATAAAACAGTCGGGGGGTAATATTGTTGAAATGGATGGTAGTGTGTTGTCGCTATTTGGATTTGTTGGATTGATTAAGTTGATTGATACGCCTAGGAGGGAAATATATATATTTCATGCCGAGATGTTGTTTATCTTACAGATAGAGACGAGGCTATTAAGATACACTGACAAATGATTGAATGAAATATACACGTTTTTATCTTTTCTAGAGCGGGTGAATTTCAACAGATGCCACATTTCTCATCACAGAACCTCCACCCATGCAGAGTGTAGATCCAATTCAACAGCACTTCCCATGAAGAAATAATGTGAATACATGTATATGACTGCATTCAGATTACCTATTCATATACAAAATGCCATACTGTGAACAATAGAAAATATTTGATTTATTCATGAAATGTATATGGTATATTTACTTATGGAACATATTGGGACTTCATAAGGTCACGCTTCTATGTCACGTGACCTAGACTGCGGTACTAATTACAAAGAGCCAGACTAGTTAAATCCCCCATGTCCGCAGGGGACAGAGACATGTCTATATTCTGATATCGACAATGTAATCAACGTCGCTGCATAACGCCTACATTGGAGTTTGATTGACACCAAGGTGTAGATTTCCTAATATGTGATATACGCAGGTAATACACAGGAGCGGGATGAAGTAATATAACGGAATTAGTTGTGTAGATGGTGGCAAAAATATTTTATATAGACATAATTATGACATGTTAGTTTAGTAAACACCTAAGTTAGAGAATCATCAAACTCGTTTTCAATAAGGACTTAGGAGTACATAATAACGAGAACGATTAAATAGATGAATATTTGAGAAATAATAATTTAATCTCAAGAAATGTGAAGGTCTGCTGTTGGAAAACGAGATGAATATGAGAAACTAGGACTCTCTGTCAACACTTTTTTCATTCCCCAAACGTGCAGTATTATGATATGATCACGTGATTGTATTGTCTTGTGATTTTGTTAAAACTCACCCCTCCCCTTTGGCATAAGCAATGTTACTTATCTCATGCTAATATTATACCCCACAGATATGTAATTTGGAATGTATAGTTAGAGATGTGGCCGATCTTCAAGATAAGAATATATCCCGTCAACATTGTTCGAGATAATGAGAGTGTATATCTGTCAACCGACTAATAATGTCAAAATGCGCAGTGTCACATTTTCAACTGTTTAATACTCAGGTCATGTCGAAGAAGCGGAATTTTTGATACTGACATGTTTTACATCTAATCTGACAGATATTTATATAATAGATTTATAGATATATAAATATATTTACCTGAGTGCCATCTCCGGGTCCCAGTATTAGCTTGCCATGGCTGTCTATAGACATGTGACTGGACACCTGGGAGTCGAAGGAGACGTCGTTGCGGATGACGATGGCGTCGAGCGTCTTCACCTTAACCTCATCGTTTTCAGCAGGGATGGGGTGCTGTGGTACCGAGTCCCCCCGGGGAGTCTTCCTTGCCCGGTCCGCCCGCTTTATAATGAGGATCGTGACAATGACTACCACGGTGACGATGCCAGTGAGGCTGCCAAGGATGACGACAACGATGGCGTTTTCCTCCGTCATACCGGTGCTTTCGTAATAAGTTTCATTGCTGGCAAAAATGTGAACCTCAAGCGTAGCATTCGAGCTCAACTGTGGAATCCCTTGATCAGTGACGATGATAACCATTCGGTATTTTCCGACATCTTCCTCTGATAATTTTCTTTTCAGAAGCAACTCCCCCGTGTTGCTATTGATACCAAACGTGTCCGTCTCCTCCCCAGCGTTTGTCTCTGGACCCTCCCAAGTTGGGGGGACCCGGCGTTGCCCCCTGGCGACGTAGAACTGAAAACGAGCGTTGATCCCTTCATCAGAATCATTAGCAACAACGGATAGAAGAGGTGATCCGGGGCTTGTGTGGTAGGGGATCGCGATTGACGAGTTGGCAGGATTGGGAGATTGTATCTTCGGCGGATTGTCATTTTCATCACCGACTTCTACTACGACTGTAGTTGAGCTACTTAGAACGGGCACCCCATTGTCCTTTGCCCATACCTTAACCTGAAATTCCTTGACCATCTCGCGGTCCAAACGCCGGGTAGTACGCAGCTGACCACCGGGTAAGATTTCAATCGGAGGGTCATCGGAATTGTCATCAATGCTGTACATGACTTCGCCATTCAGCCCGGTATCAAGATCCAAAGCATGAACTTTGTCAATTTCAGTCCCAGGTGCGCGGTTCTCCATAACCTTGAACTTGTACAGATTGGACTGAAAGCTTGGCGCCACGTCATTGACGTCATCCACGGTAATCATTAACGTCGCTGTCGCGTTTCTCGGAGGATAACCTCTATCTCGAGCTACAATTGGGACAGCCATTTTGGGCATAAATTCCCTATCGAATTCGATAGCAGATATCACTTCCCCAGTTTGCAATACTTTCAGTCCCATTTTATCAGCGTAGGGTATAATATAGTCGATTTCCCCGTTCGAGCCTGAATCTTTATCACTGGCTCGAACTCTTGTTATCACGACCCCTTTGACATTCTCGACTACAGAAGCGGTGTACACGTCTTTACTAAACACAGGCGAGTTGTCGTTCTCGTCCTTGACAAGCACCGTGAAATTGATGGTAGTGTTAAGGGGAGGATTTCCTGCGTCCTGACACGTCACCGTGACGAAATGCTCCTTCATCACCTCGCTGTTCAACGGCCTCACGACGATGACCTTATATTCATTAACGTCCAGTCCTTGTAGTTCGAACATCTCGCTGATGATGTCGCACCGAATTATCCCATTCCTGCCAGAATCAAGGTCAAGGACAGCAATATGGGCGACTACGGTGCCCGGTTGAGCATATTCCGATACCAAACCCCCATACAGCAGATTAAGGTTGATGGATGGTGGGCTATTGATAGTGTCTTCAACATATATCTCAACGGCAGCTTGAGATATTAAAGGCGGACTCCCACCATCTATACATTCGACGTAAAACTTAAACCTTTCTCCCTGGGCTCCTTCAAGAGAAGAGACAACAGTTACCTCCCCTGTTGTGGCGTTGACGTCGAAGTAGCGTTTCACGTTACCCGCTTGTAATGGGCTGAACCTGTAGTAGGCAACGCCGTTCTCGGGGATGTCTACGTCCGTTGCCGTCACCCTGAATATTGCCGTTTTTTCCAAAGTCGTTTCTCGCACCGTGACGTTGTAAGAAGCGGGGGAGAAAACGGGAGCGTTGTCGTTGACGTCAATAACGTCGACCTTCACGTTGACACTGCCGGTGGAGGTGGGGTTTCCGCCGTCTTTTGCAAAGATTATGATTTGATAACTGCTAGCAGCTTCTCTGTCCAGCGTTCGCCTTACAACGAGGCTGACGATAGTTCCTCCATCCAAACGGCTGACCACGTGTAGAGTAAATGGGCTGTCATAGGGGGTTAGTTCATAACTCTGGAGCGAGTTGTTTCCAATGTCTCTATCAACTGCCCCATCAATAGCCAAAGATGAGTTCACGGAAACAGCTTCAGATATTTCCAAAGCTATGGATGCTTTCGGGAAAATGGGCTTATTGTCATTGATATCTTGTAGATAGACACTTGTCCATATCTTTCGGAAGTATTGACTTGTCGATGATTGAACTGCCACTTCTAGATCCAACACACACTGAAAGGAGAATCCACATATATCTTCCCTGTCGAGCTTCACAGCCGTGTAGATTTCACCTGTCGTGTTGTGAATTGTAAACAAGGCACTGTACGGGTACCCCTGCGTGAGGAAGCTGTATCGAAGAGTTCTCATCGCATCGTCAGATAATGCTGATTGCAAATCAGTGGCATCAGATATACTTCCTACATACGTTCCAGCCTTCTGTTCCTCGTCTATCCGAAATGTCAAATCTTGACTGACACATGTAGATATCAACACAGTTGTCAATATCACGACATACATCTTCAAACCCATATTGACCGCTTCACAGTTATCCCACTCGAATCATAATCCACGAAATGGACAACACTGGTAGAATCTTGTTAATATCCCTCTGATGACGTCTCCGGAGCTTGTGTATTTCCTTGTGTCAACATACAGCTGAGGTCTATTTCCCTGGAGATCTTGTCGATTTCAACCTGTAACACAAGAGACACACTTTAGAGAAACCGTGTTTGCTGCCAGATCACTCCACGATAATTTGGTTTTTCTGTAGCTCCTCTAAACATGAAAAGGGATCTAATGTAGTTTGTAAATCTCTGTCCAAACTCACAACGAACAACTACCAAACATGCCTCTATGACTCTGGGTATCCGTGTCTGTCACAAACTCATCTCTCCTTGCCCACGCCTCGCGCTACTATCAACACAACCACGGTGTTTCAATGTGCCATGATCATGTTTACAGCTCCTGTATAAAGCCCAAACCACGCCCCCTTGCCAATCAACCAATCATAGCCTATCAGCTACTGACTCGCGCCGCAGGGAGCGCGCTTTTCTGACAATGAATGGATTCTCTGCTTTAGCAGTTACTTCCCTTTGCCATAAGATTGATGTGCTTGAACAGTGTTATTCAAGTTAATTCATCAAGCATGAAATTTGTTATTTTTGCTGTTAGCAGAGGAAGGTCATTGTATAAACATAATATTTGCACACGACTAGCAGTTTTGACAAGTGTGAAAACAAATATAATTCGTTTAGTCGGGAAAGGGTTTCCATAATCCAAATGTTTTCTTGAACAATGAACATGTGTTCTTACCACATGTAAGTTATTATTGTTTAGAAGAAAGGAGACATGCTTAAATTAATGTGACTAAGCGGCGTTGACGATAAATGATATAAAGTTTACCATTTTAGATAGACAAGTTAAAAATATACTAAACCTAATCTATGTGTGAAATACCCTTGCAGGCAATTTTGTTAAGGCATGTTGATTGAATAAACAACAACAACAATAATGAAAAAAATAACAATAAAAGGTGTAAGAATAAGAGTATCGACTACTACTACTACTCCCGTGAATATCCCGTGAGTCCTTCAGAAACCCATGCTTTCCGCAAAAGGTGGCTATGCTTGTCGTAAGAGGCGACTAACTGGATCGGGTGGTCAGGCTCGCTGACTTGCAATTGGTTGATGCATGCCATCGTATCCTAATTGCGTAGATCGGTTCTCATAATGTCAATCACTGGATCTACTACTACTACTACTACTACTACTACTACTAGTACTAGTAGTAGTAAGTGTGGGTAGTCTTGTAGTTAAAACGCTCGCCCGTCACTCCGACGTCCCGGGCTCGGTTTCCCATATGGGTACAATGTAGGAAATCAAGTTCTGTATATTGCTGGACTATTGTTAAAATCAGGCCTTCTCATACATAGTTTATACTGGCACTGATAACGAAGACAAAGAGTCAAACAGATTCCGACCGACAAACCACTAACGTATCACACGGTCAGTTATGATTCCTACAGCAGTGATGACGTAATGTTATTCGTCATTAGCTGGGGCTCCTCCCCAAAGGCCTGCTGTGTTGATGTGTTGATAAGTATGGACTATGGACTGATAATAAGGACAGGCAGTTCATGCGGTGTGAAGCCAAACAATGGTATCAGGCTTTCATCAATATTTTTTCACATTATTGATGTACACTTGTTAGTGGTGATAATCATGCATCGTCTATCACCTATCATTGTTACGTGGGTAAGAGCATTGCGACATTGTGTAACAGACAACTGTAGATGATTGGACAATGAAAGACAAGATGATGGTGATAATTGTGTTTATTAATGCGGACAACACCATTTCTATTCATTCATTCATTCATTCATTTGTAAGAGGAGTGTGTATTCGTTCGTTCGTTCGCTTTTGTAAGAGGAGTGTGTTGTCAGGTTGGGTGAAATAAGGCTGAAATACTACTGATACTGTATTTTTCAACAGAATATTTAGATTCTGATAACCTGTAGGGCCTAGGGTAAATAAAGGACTGGATTAAGTGCGGTGTTACACAACATCGTTCGTTAATTCGTTTCAGGGATGAACAACACATGCTATTTTAACCCCATCAGCCACTGTGGTATATATGTAATATATTGTCTTAGACGTACACCTCGCATACTCAGCTAGATGCTAAAACTCATCAAACAGCTTCACACAAAAGATACACCAATTACCATTAGTCGAGATAATCCTCTAATCCGCTAAGCCTGTCAATCTTTATCTATCGGCTGTAAATTACCGTTAGTCATCAAAGGCGATAGATGTACGCATACACCTCTCACTATCACTCAAAGACACGCGCGCGTCCCTCGAGAGTTATAGGGCTATCTGGATACCCGGAAGAGTCTAGGTCCCCCTTTTGTTTAAGGGGGATTATGTCATCATGTCTGCTGAGAATCTTACACCTTTTAGACCCTTGAGTGCAGTTAAAGGATTAGGTCTGTAATAGCAGAGTAATTCTCTCGTGCTGAATTTAATAAAACATCATAAACGGGAGGTCATAAATATCTTTACTTTGACACTTATCCTCGACTATGTGACACTTGCTGATTTTTTCGAATTCTCAGTAAGGAAACATACATATTTACATATATATTCTAGTTGAGATGTATTACATTGTACACAAGATAAAATGGGTAAAACATCGCTCAAGATAATACAATCTAAACAAAAATCTTCGAAAAATATATATTGTAGTATCGCTAATCTCCACGTGTCCAAAAAAGAGTGCCGTTAAAGAAAGCATGTCTTCGTACGTTTCTTTATTCAAGGTGCGTGTGATATCCTGTAACATAACCATTGCACGTGTCCTAATGTGCCATTCACTATGCCTAACGGTAATTGCCTATATTCATAAAGTGAAGTGGCACTGATCCTATGCCACGTAAGGCAGAGTCCAGCTCATATAACGAAGCACCAAGTGCCAATGTCCGAGAATCTCCGACAATGAACACCCCAGTGGGCACTTCACTGATGTATTCAAAGCTTCATAAATCGTTGTTTACTCTAGATGTCATCTCAAGTTACCCATGTTCTCGAGTGCCTCATTATACCCTATACATTTTCCTTTTTCGCGGCTGGGTTTAAGCCAGTCTGATTTCCATATCGGATAATTACCCATAATTGTCCCTCTCAGACGTAACCGAGTGGTCATTTGTAGAAAGACGTCACCTGACCCTGCGAACAATGATACGAGTTTCACATATACATAATAACACTACCTGTATAAGACGCTAATGCGGGTACATCACGATCTCCGCGCCTATAGAAAACAAGACCGGGCAGAGAATACAACCCTGTCGCAGAGATAGAGATATGCCATACGCGTGAAACAAATGGCCGTCAAATTACCACAGCATCTGTTGAGGGACTACGGTGGGTAAAAGGGAGCACTGGGGCTGAAAGGGACCCCCTCTGTCACTGTCTAGCCCCCCGTCACTTGCCCTGTGAGAGTTTCTCCCTAACATTAGGACTTGACAGGGGATTTGGAACTCTGGGTCTTATCTGCTAGATGGTCAGTGTGATAAGGATGAATAGCAAATTATTGTGTCGTTGCTTAATGTTAACTCAAGCTTAAATATGTTTTGTGCTACTTTCTTACGGATCAGTTTTGACACATTGTATTATTTGAGCTTAAGATGTGCTGATAAACACATTTTCCATTTTGATATTGCAGAAACATTTGAAGTGATAATGGTCTCTTGGTGGCCGATATATGACACGACGAATTATCCATGAAGTTATCAGATGCGCACACTAACACAAACGTTTGCCGCTTTGACGTGTACACGTGTTTTTCAAATATGACAAACTGAAACTTTATGATATACAATTTAAATATATACACTCAGACATTAAATATCTCTTCCATATCAGTAAGGAAATGTGACATATATTTGCCAGGTACATTAAGAGATTAGAAAATGAAATTTGGGGAAAATAAGAGCCACTGTTTATAAATATCAATGATTACTTTATGTAATGGTTCATGTCAAAAACTTTTTCAACACCCCTGCTATGATTCGTGATATTAGGCAGCTCATATTGCTATAGTACAAGAACTTAGCGATCGCTTAGACACCGCTACTTCAGTTTTACGATTCTATCTATTGTTTATTCGTGGCGAATACTTTAAATTCACTTTCACAACACAAAGAGGACGACATTATATGATACTTTCACACATTATTTACGTATAAATGTTTGCATGCACCATTTACATTTTTTGGAAACCCCTTTCTCTCTTTCCGCAAACCCCTGTCTCTACCCGCCACTCATGACTTCTATCCCCTGTGTGCCAGCACACTCGTCTCCAGTGACCGAGAACACAATGGAACATTAGGCTAATTTCACGGTAAAAATCAAAGCTTAGCTGGTATTGTCCAACCCAGAAGCTGAGGAACTCGATCCACCATGCGTAAAATGCTGAAAAACTTTTATCACTCTGTGCACGCACAATTTCAAGCACTGTCTCTCAGATAAGAGGAAGACCACGGTGGATTGTTCTTCCTGAGACACTGCAACGATTTCATCCAAGCCGCTGTTCAGTGGGCAGAAAATGTCCCCTCTCTTTACTTTCAGATTAACGAACACCCTGCAATTATTCGGCAATAAACAACGTGAACGTTTCAATGTTAACAATAACAGATGGGTTAACGTTATCTGTTACGGCCGCGTTATGGTATTGGCTGTCACAGATCGCTATCTGTTGTCTGTGGTACGGTCAATTGGTAATATAGGGATGGGTTAAGAGATTTGTGAACATAGTGCCGGTGGTATGTATATGCGGGTCGTGATACCATGTAGACCGGGGTTTTACCAACGCACGAAATGACGGTGGGAGAATTGGGCCACGTTGGTCTGTGACGACGTAGTTCCGCGGTAAATGAGGTAAAATAGTTGTGGTACCTCTTTAACTCGAAGTCTGAAGTCTGTGTTTTCTCACGGTGGATATACTTCTTCGTTATCTCAAAGTCAACGGTGCGAGTTACCCGTACTTCGAGACACGCGGAATGACGATATAAGACAAAAGTTCAATAATATAAAGGAATAAGCCATGATCATATAGTTACGTCGCCTTAAAGGACGTAATGAGTTAGTGGATTTCGAGTTAGCGAGGTGTTACGTGAACGTACATGCGGGAC